TGTTTAGCTGCCTGAGGAGAGTGTGTCTTTGTGTGTCACCATGAAAATCTTTACAACAAAGATTTTTTCATGGGAAAAAATAAAAATGAATCAAAGAACTAAATGTCAAATCAAAAACGTTTAATCTATTGGGCAATAAAACTCTTGAAGTCCTAGGTGTAGGCAAAGACTTTCTGAACAGGACCCTAGGTACATAGGAAATAGTACCAAGCATCAACAAGTGAGATCAAAGTAAAAATTTCTGAAAAGCAAAATAAATAATCAACAAAGTGAGAAGACAACCTACGGAATGGGAAAAAACTTTGACCACTACTCTTCAAGGAATAATATTCAAGCTTAATATCTAGAATATATTAAAAAAAAAACTGGTCCCCAGAATAAAAGACCCGATCACAAAATGGGCAAGTGTCTCATTTGTCTGAGCACCTGCAGCCTGCTTTTGAGTGTGTCCTATTTTTCCATCTAATCTTTCTCTTGTTTCTTTGAAAAAAAGGAAAAGTGAAATGAACAGACACTTTATAGAAGCATAAATAACCAATAAACACATGAAGAAATGCTCAGCACCACTGGCTGCTACAGAAATGCAAATGAAAACAACACCAGGATTCTATCTTACCCCACGAAGAATAGTCATCATCAAAAAATCAAATAATAACAAATGCTGGTGAGGCTGTACTATGTAAGGAAACAGGAAACTATCAGAATGGCTCCAAAGATTACATATCAGTAGTTCAGCTGGCCTTATTTGCATTGCTTAGAGCCAATTGAAGAGAGAAGGAAATACCATAGACTTTCTACATTATGAATGGGGATGTAAACTAGGAGAGCCCCTGTGGAAATTAGTATGGGAATCCTCAAAAAACTAAAACTAGAAATTTCATTTGAATTATTCAGCTATTCTTTTTTGAGATCTTCCCGAAAGAGTTAAAGACATCATGTCTCAGTGATACACGTACACCCATGTTTATACAGCACAATTCATGATAGCTGAATCCTGGAAACAGCCTATATAGCTATAAATAGATGAATGGATAAAGAAAATGTCCATTTATACAATGAAGTTCTACTCTGGCATCAACAAAGATAAACTTCAGTCATATACAGGAAAATAGATACACTGTGAGGCCTAATGTTAAGTGAAATAAATCAAACATACATGCTTAAATACTGAACAGCTTAGCTTATATGAGAAACCAAACATATAAGAAAAGAATAAAATATGAAAGTGGGGAATAGATATTTCTCAGTGGGAAGGGGATCAAGAGAGAGGGAAAGTGAAGACAGAGAAGGGAAAGGGAATAAAAGGAATTAAGATGTGTTGTGTACTGTAGTAGTCCACATGGCACCCCTCCTTGAATGCAGAACAATTGCTGCAACATTAGGTAAACTGTCTTATTTTTACATACTGATATATACAGAGCTGGCTATGGTATTTATTTTTCTCTTTAATTGGCTCTAAGCAATGCAAACAAGCCCAGCTAAAGGACTGATATGTGATCTTTACAGTCAATCTGACTCTTGTTTCCTCACATAGTGCTCTCTGTAAAGATCCAAGCACAGCAGAATGGCAGAGCCAGTCAGCTTCAGGAATGTCAGAGTTAAGAGGCTATGAGTTTTCAGGGTACAAAAGTTTACATATAAGAAACTAAAGCAACAGCCTCCTAAGTTCTTTTATGTGCCAGCCCGGTCAAGTTATACAGATTGTCTTTCTGCTTATCTTCTTGCACACTGCAAAGGTGCTTTTTCCCCACCGGGCCAGCCAGCTCGAGTTACTTACCATCTTCACTGCTACTCATCCTTGAGCTAACCCAACTTTTCAGAAGATAATAGATTCGAGGAGAGGCCTTGGATCAGGGCCTTTGTCCACACATCCTCACTTGGGTCAGATTTTGGACCCTTGGCTGCCCTTAACTGTGTCTTTGTCTCACCATGGGTTGCATTGGAGGGGTAGATTGGAATTAACTTGCCCAGATTCCAATAACGTGTCAATGAATTACAAATACAACTTTCCAAATTGTGAGAAAGATTTAAAAAGAGATTATAATCCTTAGATTACATACTCAATATTTTGGATTACAAATTGTAATTTCCTTGTGGTGCACGTACACCAACTCCCCACAAGGAAATGTAAACATTATATACTGTAACTTATACTGATAAAAAAATAAAACTGAATAGGCCAGATAAGATTTAGAATAGTGATTAATTATTATTTCAAAAAACACCATGTAGGACACCTAAAAAAATAAATGGAAATGAAATGTGACAATTTCTGTATGGTTTACTGGTAAGTTTTCCCAGCTGAATAAGAAGGATGGGCCATATTGGGGCAGGGAAATAGGAATGTGGATTCCTAGGAATTTTTTTTGCCATTATTTCTCTTCAGAGTTCTTTCATACCTTTGAGGCTCTGCCTTAGGATTTCCCTCAGGCAGCCCATCAGGTCTGAGATGTGCCTTTTGGCTTCTTGTAACCCATGGCTAAAAGCTTAAGTGTCTGTGGCAGCAGGCAGGGGACAGAGTAGAAGAGTGAAGCAGAGGCTGATGACCTGGCCGGTCCATGCTGCTCCTGTCCTGATGATAAATGCCAAGTGGCATCGAAGACACTGATCTCTCAAATAAATATGGGCATTTAAGTGAAGCCATGTTTTTTTTTCCTAAATGTTGCCTTATTTTAAGAACATTCTGGGCTCATGGAAGCACTTTTCTCTGGGTTGCATTCCATGGGCAGGCACACACATAATCATGGCTGCAGCACTGCTCAAAGGCCAGCTTGGAAGAGTGTCCACGACTGACTTCAGAGGTCAGTGTGCAGCCCACTCCCCCAGCCATTCTGTGTACTTGGACCTTGCTTCCTTCTGCTTCAGGTAGAGCAGTTTCTTATTCTTGCAACTGCACCCTAAATGACAGCTAAATATAATCAAATTGCAATTTTGAGATACAATGCAAAACAAGATTTATTCGAAACTACTTGCTTTAAAAAAGGGAAGAATATCATAGATAGGTGATTTTTAGAAATTTCTCCCTTCTAGTTCAATATATAGCTAGTATCAGCATACAGTAAAGTACCAAGATTTACAGCACAGCTCTGAGAATGCCCACAGACACATGAATGCAGAGGTAGCTTCCAGGTGGGGCAGGAAGGATTGGAGATGGAGGGAAGGTTGTATCCTGGGGACAGCTTTTGTATAGCTGGGACTTTAATCCCTCTGTCCAAGAGGCTGGAAACTTAATAATAACAATGCCCAGAGCCACCAAAAGCCAAGCAAAACTACTTTTATTTCTGTTCTGAGATATTCAGTCATGATTTAAGAACATGTATCTGTTAATTATCACAGTAGCAAACAGCAAGAAAGTACCACGGCATCCTATGAAAACTGTTCTTGACCTTGTTGAGAACATTTGGGACTTTCCAGTTATGGTTTTTTTTTTCTGGTCTTTTTGACATAAGGTCTCACTATGCAGTTCAGATTGGCCTTGAATTCACTTTATAGCCCAGGCTGGCCTCAAACTCACAGCAATCTCCCTACCTCAGTTTCCCAAGTGCTGGGATTCCAGGCATGCGCCACTATGCTTGGCTTTTCCAGCTACCTTTTGAGGAGCCATTTATATTTGGGACCAGAAGACTTTTCTGAAGTAGCATATTTTCAGCCATACCATACAGATGGGATTAACTTATATAACAATTATAAATATTCAAGGTATTGCATGAGACTTTAAATTACTTTAAATGTCTTCAATCCAAGGGAACTAACCAAAACAAATAATTATTATGGGGCTCAGATTAATTAAATAATTTATAATGAAGCCTTATTATTGTTGGCCCTATGAACAGAACAATCTAAACTCAAACTTGGCTAAGATTTGGGGCTCACTAGACATTTGTTCGTAGTCTCAGGATGTAAAGTGATTGTCTGTCTTGCTATCTACCTGCTCTTGTATCTGGTCAAGAAAGAACAGTAACAAGAAAGAGTTAATAAAGTAAGTTCAACTATCAATGTCTAACTTGCCCAAAGACAAAGGTAGATATACAGGTGTTAAAAATGATCTAGTATATTGATTTATCTTTCTGAATTTGAACTAAGCTACCAGCCTAGAGGTGGAAAATCACTTAGAGTATAAAAAATACTTTCTCTGAATACTTTCGTTTTTTTTAATCGTGGGAAATCGAACTCAGGCTTCATGTATGCTAGGAAAACATTCCTACAACTAACTGAGCTACAGCCCCAGCCCATAAATCTGAAACTGATTTTTTTTTTTTAGTACTGGCAGCTGAACCCACCACTTTGTACCAAGCTACATTCCCAGCCAAGATCCCAGAGTTCTGGGATTATAGATCTCAGCCACCACACTCACCTTCATGATGTTTGAGAGAGAGATTTCAACCAAAATTCATTTAGCATTTAACAAATAGCAATTATAACTATATCTATGACTTTTCTAGAACTGAGGTTAGTCATAAAACTGTACATATAAAAATAGAAAATAAACAGTGGGTCTTAATCATAACTGCAAAGTTTTTTTAGCCATTTATGGTAGTATACTCCAGGAATTTCAGGAATTAGGACACTGACAACCTTGGGAGCCATTATTCTGTTTACTACAGTCACTAAAATCACACATACAAAACAGCATATGTTTCAAAACAGAATCCTAGGAGATTAACAATATGTAAACATCTTTGTAGCTGTCTGTGTAATATTTATCTAGATGGCTTGCTCAAAAAATTCCTTAAGAAACTACCAAGATGAAAACAATGCAAGATTTATCTTTTTGCATGGATCCAATTGGATAATTTGTACACCACAAGCTGATTAAACTGTAAAGAAGATGTTTCCCTCTAATGTATTTCATCATAGCAAAAATTAGCATGTTCCCTCTGTCTTACTTATGAGGCGGGGGAACAGGCATGTCGTGGTTGCCAGGGTCACAGACACTGCCACAGGCCTGCTGTTGGCAGTGGGTACAGCCTGCCAAGTAAACTGTGCTTGCTAAGTGTTACCTGTTTGAATAAAGCGTAGTCCTGTCTTGTGGGCAATGTTCACTGACATATAAGGAAGAAGACGAAATAGTGGTTGCCAAGGAAGCGGCTTCAAACAGTGATGGAGTGCTAGGGACCAGGTCTGGCCTGTGTCGGGATCCCAGAGCTGGGGAATGAAAGCAACACACACTTAGGAATCTCAGTATGATATGCTGCTTTAGCATCTATAGTGATTTCAACAAGTCAAAAGTATCCATTTTACACATCGAGCTGCAAATGAAATTATGAATTAACTTGTGCTCTTCCCAACTACAGCAGAAATGTAAAAGAGCTGCTTGCGAACAGGTTACACAGAAAGGAAATTAAATTAATTTGCAAAATGGCTTATGGAAATGATATTATGAATGTTCTTTTATAAATCTAATAAAGTGACTTGCTATTTCAAAAGGATGGCATTAAAAAAGTCCTGGGAGATATAAGGAGATAATTTGATGGAGATTAAAAGGAAGACTGGCAGATCTGTACACAGAGCAGACCTGCTTTGCCCTCCCTATGAGATGCACATGCATTTAGATCTGAAACTACTTTTCAAGGGCTGCAAACACTTCAATAGACCAAGAGTCCATGATGGAGCCTACATACACCTTTGAACATGACACAGGCTCTTGACCTTATACCTTAACAGCAAGCATGCACTATTAAAAGTAAGAAAAGTCTTCTTGAAAAAGAGAAAAATGTACTATCAAAAGTGAGAAAAGTCCTCTTTTTTTTTGTTAGAAAAGAAGAACGTTCTAGATTCACAATGGTTCACGCCCACTTGTTTAGGGTTCAGTGACTGAATTCAGGTTAGATATTGTACAGAAATTGGGTAGCTGAGCCTTCCACCCTTGAGGGATGGCTCTTTGAAGCAAGGAACTGTTTCTCCAACCTCCAGGTTTTTTTGTTTGTTTTTGTTTTTGCTTGCTTTGTTTTCTTTTTATATCAATATGGTAGGTAGAATTCTAAGATAACTCCCAGCGCTCCTCACTCCAAGGGTGGGTGATTCTGATGAATACAATGAGACATTACTGCTATGATGATTATGTGACCTGGAAAAAGGGATTCTGCAGATGTGATCTGGGTTACTTTGAACTGGTTTAAAAAAAAAAAAAAAAAGGAGAGATAATCTAGGGGGCCTGATCTAATAACATGAACACTTTAAGTCTGGGTCTAAAGGTCAGAGATAGGCAGTTCCAGAGTACAAATGTTTTAGGGATCGATATGTAAGGAACTCTCTGTTTGCAGAAGGCGGAGGGTGCACAGCAAGGAATGCAGGTGAGCCCTTGGGAGTGGGCATGGCTCTTAGTTGTCACAGAATAAACAAAAGGGGACCCCACCTAACACCAGCAAGGAACTGAAATCTGCCAATAACACAAAGGACTCAGAAAGGGGGTTCTTCTACAGCACCTTCAGATAAGAACTCAGTACAGCTGGGCCCTGATTTCTGCTTTTGAGACCCAGAGTGGACAGCCCAGGTGAGATGTAGTCAATCTTCTGACTCACAAAACTACCAGCTACTAAATGGGTATTGCTTTAAAATGCCAAATCTGTGATAATTTGTTACATGACAGTAGAGAAGGAACACAATCCAGACATGGCAAGGATAGCAAAAAAAACAAAAGGGTAAAAGCTAGAGGGAGATCTGCCCTTAACTTAATACATTTTGAAAGGGAGAGTTCCCAAGCACAGGGCACAAGAAAGAGGCCAAACCCTGTACATGAATGAACTGTGCGGAGAAACTCATTGGATAATAGGATGTCACAGTCTCAAACAATATGCTCTTCAATCTTCTGAGACCTTTTCAAGTGTAGTATCTCATAACTTAACACAATAGGTCCACCAACTCATACGTAAAAATACAATATGGGTAGTTCCACGTTTCCAAGTATGTGGATACATGTAGTGTGCTTTTTCATATTTCCTTTACTCGGCCCAACTGCTTGAACTTTGAGGTCATAGTGAGCATGCTATTTGAAAGCTTCATTAATGCAGTTCAGAGGTAAGTTTGTCCCCTGACTCAGAAGTCCTCTCTGTCCTCACGGCTGGGACACACTGCTGCCCACGCCGGGTCAGGGAAGAGGTAGGACAGCTCCTGGCAGCAAAGTTACAGAGCATGCGGATGTGGAGTGAACTTGCAGAAGAAACTGCTCCTCTAAGCTGGGATTGAGAGCCAGACAGAAACATCCATTTACTCAGCCAGTCCCTTGGTTTGGGCGTGGAGCCACTGCCAACCCTGGACACAGTGCAGATGTCGAGGCTATGAGTGACCTCAGCAGCTCGTTCTCATGAAGCTCAGCGTCCCACCAGCTTTAGAAAATTGAAAAGGCAAAAGTGGACAGAAAAAGTAAAGGGCTTACAAGAGACTAAACGTGGGAAGATAAAGGTGGCAAGTGTCTGTTAATGGGGGTTATTTGCTGGATGATAAATTTTTTATATTTTCAAAAAAAAAGTAAGTTTGTCCCATTTTCTAGATTGTAATTTTCTTCTATTTCCTAGACACCAGTAATTTTATGTGTGTGCTCAGAAAACCAGGTTAGCATGATGCGGGGAATACTAAGACAGGATAGCTTAGGGGATGGCGCTAAGTATCTCTCAGGAACTGGGGCTTGGTGCACAGAAGACCAAGGGCAATTCATTAACACTTCCACTGCTGTTGTTAACTCTGATACAAGTGGTTTATGGGAGGATGAGAAAGAAAGAAATCCAACATAGATACATGCTGCAGAAGCGGATGAGAGTAACACCCTGTTCTGAGGTCGCAGAACAGAAAAGAAAACCCCTACAACAGAGCTTGTCTTCTATAGGAAGTAGAAGACATTTTTCTACTTATCAGAGAACATACTGATAGAAAAATCTAAAGTGACAGCACCACTTCTTGGACTGCAAGAGAAAAACCAAGTGATCAATTCAGTAATCACAGTAGCTAGAGAAGCACATTTAAAGGATTCAGTACTCATTCTTGACATAAACTTTTAGCAAATTAGCCATAAAAAGGGAGCTTCCTTGACCTGATTATGGGCCCTAACTACAGGAGACTTCTTTCTCAACATGAAACATTAGAAGCATTCCCTTTAAAATCGGGACACGGTGAGGCTGTCCACAGTCAACACTTCTATGCATCAGAAGTCATGGCCAGCCAGCCAGCCAGCCAAAAAAGAAAGAAAAAAAGACAAAACAGCATAAAAAAATGGAGTATGGGGTCTGTCTAGTAACAATAGCCAGATCATCCAGTTCGTAAAAAAGATGCTATTTTTTTTTTTTTTTTAAAAACCTACATGAATCAATCTCTGTATCTATTCAGGGGATAAATCTAATAAAAGAGATATATAGTATTCAAGTGAAGCAAGAAGAATGCTACAAAACTTCATTTAAATTCATTAAAGAAGATCTAAATAATTGAAGAAACAACTTATAATGTCTATGTGTGTATTTACAGGTGCACAGAATAAGGTTAGGAGTTAAACGTTAGTATTTAATATTATCAGGTAGGATTATAGATTTTTTGGAATGTTTTAGTATTATGGCATTTGATCACCAATCATAAATTGTATTGTTTATATGGCATTTAAAATATAAATGAACTGTAGCATACTTTATGTAGCTTATAAAAATTAAATCTCAGTATTTTCTAATTTTTGTATTGTAAATTTACATTAGTTGCATACATAAATCACGGATTTTTTTTTTCTTTCTGAAGTTTCTCATCTTTACCTTCTTCATCGAGGCTGCTAAAACTTTGTCCTTCGGTCAACAAATCGTGCTTCTCATCCTTCCAATCCTGGCTAACCGAGGACACAATCTCCTGCGAAGTTGCCTTTAAGGCAGTGATGGAATTGCACCATTTCTTAGAAGGCGAGGCTTTCAAAGCTAGACAGAAGGGAAAAAGGAAAATACTTATAAAACCATGTGCATATTTAAAAATTGAATTTTATTTATTATTTAACATCTTATTATCTGAGAAGGAAAAAATTCTTTATATATAAAAAATATACATGTATACATAGGGAGATAAAATTATATTTTGGCCATATTATTTGTGCAAAATGATATGATTTAAAAATATCCTAGAATAAATTAGAGTTGAAATTCCCAGAATTTGAAATAAAGTCTTATTTGAGGTGAATGTTACATGTTTTCTAGTCAAGGAATTATTTTTCCTCCTTCAAACAATATTTTTCTAGCACTGGGAGCTGCTGGGTGAATTGATAAATGCAGATGGTACAGTACGGAGCATTCTCATGACCCCAGTTTTAGTAACTAGAGACTAGGAAATTCTAAACATGCCAATGTTTAATCTTAAGCTCATGTTGCCCCATTTAACTAAGGTACTTCTGGTTGCATTCTTTTTTCTGTGAATTTCCACTGAAATTTCCTACTCGGTATCTTTTCTAGGTCATGGTTACATCAGATGTATAATTCACTCCTCATTTTTGTCCAACTGGCATTCTCCAAGTTCATAAACGTATTGGGGACCTGAACCCATGAAAATGTACTTTGTCATCCTATGGTGCTTGCTAGGCTTTGACTTCACACAGGTTATATACAGGAAGCAGCTTAAGCTGAAGCTGGACCATCCCTTCTTAGATTTGCTCTTCACTGTCATAATTTTTTTGGCTTAATAATGTTAAAGAATTTGCTTGGAGGAAATTGGAAGGGGAGAGGGAAGGTGAGGCTCATTTATGCTTTCCTTAAACTTGTTTGTGCCAGTCTCTTCTCCTTTGGAGGTTAGCATAAAAGGATAAACGGACAGCAAATGTATTAGAATAGCTGTGTTTAGCTTTGGGGATCTCAGAGCGTTGATTGCACTGCTTGCCTGGAGTCTTCTCATGGGCAGCTTACAAGAATTTAACTGGAGAAGGACTTTGGGAATTCATAAATGAGGGAAGAATAAAGGGCATTCTCTCTGTTTACTGAGATGGGAAGGTTTACATGTCCCCTGGGAAGTCTTATAATCATAATAATATTGTCATCATCATAAATAGCATGTGTAGAGTGCTAAAGGCTGAATTTCACACTGCACATCTCCAAGTAGCCACATGTCTGAAAGTTGCCCCTTTCTTTTTTTTTTTTTTTTTTTTTTTTTCATATTTTTTTTTAAATTTTATTTAAGGAGAAAAGAAAAAAAAAAGCAGGGAAAGGGTACAAGTTATACAGATTTACAGAAAAAAAATGAACAGTAGGAAATCACTAGTTAATGGATTACATATTGTCATCTTAGAAATAATTGTTCAAGTCACAAAATTAAAGCTTGTAAAGTGGACATTCCATCAATGATACTGCAAACAGTTCTGTTCATTGATCCAATAAAACTCTGTGATATCATTTTCTATCTTATACACTTAAATATACATGCAGTTATATAGTTTGGAGCACTTTCTTTTCCTCTCTTTTGTACCATGACTATTACACATTTTGGGTTTCATTGCTCCCATGGTTCTTATTACTTTTTTGGAAGAGAGTAAAACCAAATGTGACATAACAGAACAGAATCGGTCAAGTCAAAAGGGTGGACATAATAGATAATGTAAAAACATAATACAAGGTGATCAACAATGGTTACCATAATGCCTCCCGCTATCTCCAATAGAATTGCCTATATCATTAGTTATAATACAATTGAACAAAACAGTAAAGAATAAAACCGACAAAACCAAAACATTGGAGACATTGTAGGTCTTCAAAAGTAGATAAAAGTCAACAAGAATGGGCGTCATAATGAATCTCATTATCTTCACAGCTGATGCCTAAACTTTCGAACCTGATACTATCCAGCAAAACAGAATAGGGGAACATCAGTTAAAAACCAGATGGTAAGAGTAATACAGGGCTTTAAATCAAGGTAATGAAAAGTCAAAGTGGGTTACTATAATATATCCTGCTATTTTTTTTCCTTTAATTAAAAGGATAAAGATAAAAAAGTAAATAATGGAGTGGAGATTGAGATAAAAGAGGGCATAACAACAAAACAGCGCAGATCAAAACATAACCATTTAAGCAGAATAGTGTTTCACCACCAGATAATCCTAACCTAAAAGTAGTTACCATATTGTTTCTTTCTTTGAAATCCTTGAGTACAACTTCGTATACTGTAGCATTAAGTATATCAAAACAATGTAAGACCATTCAAGAGAATGACAGCATTACATAGTATTTAGAATTGACTAACAGAAAATGACCAATGGTTTCTGTATAATCTCCTTGTCTTTAAAAGGTTTTTGCTTATACTATCGTACATAATAAAATCCAATAAGATACAGCCTATTTAGACCATTGGAGACAGAAGGACAAAAGCTAGATGAGACTTCAAAACAAGATGATACTAAATCAGTATTACCTATTAAGATGTCATTTTCTCCAAAATAGCTGTTCCTATCATCCAATCTTCTCTGCCTCATTTCTGTTGAGCTCTTTTTCTGTCAGTAGCTGTCAGTTTGTCTTCTTCATTTTGTTCTCTGCTCCATTCATTGTGGCCTCTCTGCCATTATTTCTGGATTCTTTGTATTTTTCTTTTTTTAGAATATCCTGCAATACTCTCTGTAGAGTTGAATTGGTGGTTGCAAATTCCCCCAGTTCCTCTTTATCCTGGAAGCACCTTGTTTTTCCATCAATTTCCAGGGACAGTTGTGCAGGATATCTCAATCTTGGCTGGAGATTATTATCTTTCAATGCTTGAATTATTTCCCCCCACGCTCTTCGTGATTTGATGGTTTGTGCAGAGAAATCTGCTGTAATTCTGATGGGTGTTCCCTTGTAAGTGGTCTGTTTCTTGTCTCTTACAGCTTTTAATATTCTGTTCTTGTATTGCATTTCTGGAATTTTTATTATTATATGCCTGGGTGTTGCTCTGTTTGGGTTGTAGGTAGCTGGGGTCCTGTATGCCTCATACATCTGAGTATCTTTACCTTTTGCTAAATTAGGAAAATTCTCCTGGATTATTTCTGTGAGTAGCTTTTGTAGTTCACTTGTTTGTGTCCCTACTTCTTCTTTTATGTTCTTAATCCTTAAGTTATGGATCCTCTTATCATCTTCTTGTCTTTGTATTATTGCTGTTTGTTTCTTTGTTATTTTTAAGAAGTTTTTCATTTCATTCTCCCATATTACAAGTCTGCCCTCCAGTTCAGATAGTCTGTCCTTAGTTTCTTTCAAGCTGTTATGCCAGTCTTCTATAGACTTCTTAGTATCTTGGTAGTCCCTTTGAACCTGCTTCACGTATTCTATGCTTTCTCTGTTTTCTCCATCAAACAATTCTCCCCTTTTTTTCTCTTCTTCCATTCCACCACCTGTTTTTTCTTGGGTGGTACTTAGCATTTCTCTAACTATTCTGCATACTTCTAGCTTCAGGTCATTGATAACTTCATTCCTGAATTGGTCTATGAGGCTCTCTATATGGTGCCTTATGTGTATTGGTGTGGTGTCTGCTATTGCCTGTTTCTCAGAATTGGGGGCCAAGGAGCCTTTCTTGTTGCTGCCTCTTCCCATGCTGCCTCTTCTTCTCTGTTCCTTATATATGCAAGCTTATATAAGAGGCCCAGCTTCTCTCCCAGTCAGCCACAGCCTGATCGAATTGCGCCAGTTAGGTGTTCCTGCTCACCGCTGCGCACCAGGGAGTTATGGACCAGGCAGCCTACGCGTCTCCCCTCCCGGCCACCGTCAGGCTCTGGGATCTGGTTTGGGCCAGCCTACCAGGTCCGCCGGCAGCATCACGCAGGCCAGGCACTTTTCACCAATCCCGCCCGAGAGGGGGATGTGTGACTGGAGTCGCCACCGCGCCCTGCTCCCACAGGACTGCTCGGGCCCAGAAAGTCCTCTGCTGGAGTCAAACTGTGGTAGAGTGTCAGTTTCTCTCACTCACCTCACCACAAGTCAGTGCACACCTCCCTGCCGTTCGCAGACTCCCGTTCTCAGAGCTTCCGCGCGTCTCTCTCCTTGCCGAGCCGCTGTAGAGGCAGCCAGCCGCCATGCGGCGGGAAACCCAAATCGCGGCTTACAATGGCGCGGTTCCAGCCTCCACACCGAGTCTTTTCTGTTCCTGTTTTAGCACCAGGACTGCATTCCAAGTTGGTTTCTCTCAGCCCAGTTCGTTCCTGAGTCAGCAGAGCATATCTCCACCGACTTATGTCTCCTTAGTCCGCACCATTCCTGGTTTCTGAGCCGAGTCTTTCAGAGAGCCTCCGGTAGTTGCTGTTATCTGTCCGCCATGTTCTCCCGGAACAGTTGCCCCTTTCAGAGGTAGCTTACTACCGAGACTAGGAAGATTGACTGGCTCCAAGTCACGCAGGTAGACAGCACGAATCCCATGCATCTGTCTTGTTTTTTTCAGTTGTCCAATCAGTGAAGTGTGTGTGTAGGATAAAACTAAGATGAGCATGGTAACTGGTAATTCCAGCTCTCTGGGAGGCTAAGGCAGAAGGATTGAAAACTGGAGGCCAGCCCTGTATGACTTAGTAAGATCCTGTCTCAAAATACAGAATGTAAAGGCCCAGGGCTGTAGCTTAGTGTGATGGCCCTAGGTTCAACCCCCAGTACTGAAAAGAAAGAAAGAAACACAAAGGTAAAACTAGATTTTGCTTTTCTTTGAGAGATTTTGAATGTTGAAAACTGATCAAAATTTATTTTAATGATAACTTAAGTGGGCCAAATAGGTCATGGTTTCCTTAATTCTCCATTGATTAACAGTGGCCATCTCAGAGTGCAGTCTGAACAAACATGTACATAATGCCTTGTGCTGTAACATTTTGTCGGTGACCTTTCATTAAGAAAGGGTGATGATGAAAGCTATCTGGATGTGGAGGAATTCTCTAGGGGGATTTACTCTGGACATTAAGGAGAAGACAGCACCCAGCATACATGTCACGAAATCCTTCACT